ACTCCGCTCCTGTGAGACCCCACATTTTTTAAACAGTAAAAGCAATGACATTAATTTTGTCCCAGTACTAATTTTCTGTGTATCATCATTCCTTCAGAGCATTTTGGACCATTTTCAAATGTGTTGGTCACTGGCAGACAGCTTACCATGACAGCATGGCAACACTGTGGTGGATAGCTGAAACTACACTCAGGTTTAAGACTCTAATAAAGAAAAGAACCAAACTGTATATCAGAGATGTCCAGTTACCCTCACAGGCAAAGCAGATTCAGTGCAGGAAAATCAATTTAAATTACTGCCTATCAAATCAGAGTAGGGTAAAGAGAATTAAAACCACACAGCCAGCCTCACCATGGTCCTCACCCTGGGCTGCAGGGAAATCTTTGCTCTAGCGCCTGGAGCACGTCCACCCTCCTTCTCCACTGACCTTGGTTTCTGCAGAGTTTTCTCTCACCTATTCTCAGTCCTTTCTCCAACTGCAATTGCCCATTTTTTTCCACCCTTCTCAAATATGTTACCCCAGAGGCGCTACCAGTGTTGCTGGTGGGTTTGGCCTTGGCCAACAGTGAGTCTGTCTTGGAGCAGGCTGGTGTTGGCCATGTCGGACATAGGGGAGACTTCTTGCAACTTCTCACAGAAGCCACTCCTGTAGGCCTTCGTGTGTCATGTCCCCCATCCTCCCCCAAAACTTTGCCACACAAACACAATACAAGTTGCTTCTTCCTTGATCTTCCTAATTGATCTGTGGACCTTCAGGGCTCCCCATCTCAGGCATTTGTGTGACCAGAGAGCTTCATTCTCTGTGTGGGGGTGAAAAAGCTGTGTACAACTTCTGTATTTTCTGCAAAACTTATTTTTAAAAATTCCAAAAATATTTTAGTAAGCATTAACTAGTTTTATTGTCTTTCTAATGGTACTTTTTTTTAAAAAAGGTACATGGTTGACTTTCGTTTACAGTAGAATTGTGGTTCACATTCATTTCCTGCATTAATGGCACAGAGTTAATGACCTATTAAGAACTGGAAATTTTTCAAATGCTTTTTATTGAAACATGAGAGTAGCTGGAATATCTGTGATACGCATCTATGATGCTGAGAGCATAACAATATTTCAGATTGGTGGAAGAGGCTTCCTTGATCTTGAGCCATTAAAATTCTCTTTAAAAATTCTCAGTAGCAGTAGTTAGGTGCGTATGCTGCTGAGGGTAGAGGTGACCTTCTAAGTGCTTGTCTGAAAAAGCTACTGAAGGGTAAGGCAGAATAGGAAGAAGTACAGTAGCTGCTGTTCTGCTTATGATTTGTGTGTGGACACTTTACACACCAGAACTGGCTGATGTGTAAATTAGAATTTGTGATTTGGTTTAACCTGTTACATATCTAGTAGAATTTGTTAAAGAAGTGTGGTTTACACTGTTTTCGGATACATGGATTGATTAAAACGGCTGGATTTCTGGGATTGTGTGGGTTTTCCAATCATTTTGAAACAATTGGAAAAACAGCTGTTTCCAGGTCCTCTTTTAATAAGGAGTTTGAAGACTCCAAATCTTCTTGGCATGTGATCAAAAGCATCAGCTGTTTATTGCTGTCTAGCAGAGAACTTCCAAGGAATTTTTGGCCACCAGTTGTGTCCCCAGTGCCATGGGCAGACCTGTGCACCACCTATTAAAGCCTGTTCTGTTGGGCTAAGCTACTGAATGAAATCTCATGTGACTCTGTAGATGGTTATGGGTAACACTTCTCTGTTGAAGTAAAGACAGCCTTTAATGCTTTCATACAACTGTCAAAATATTAAGAAAATATAGGTAATTACATAAAAATAGACTCTTACTTTCCTTTAGTGGCAGTAGTAAATATGTTGCTACAGATAGTTGTATTTTTGTCCTGCTCTTACCTTTTCAATGTACTCTGTATAGGCCTTTTCAATACACCACTTTCCTTTGACCACGTTATTCTTTTCCCTGCTTCCATCTACTGCACCTCTCTTCATCGTAGTTAAAGGTCAGCTTTACCTATGATCTATGATCCAGCTCAGCGTGCCAGTTTTTGCTGACTACTAGTTAAATTTTCAGGCAGGTACTTTTCCAGAGATTTTTCTTTGCTACCCTAACTTGAAGGCAGCTCCATAGATCTTTGTTAAAAGAAGGCTTTCCTTTAAGAAAAAACAACCCACCACACTGTCATGCCAGTGTGGAAGGTGTCTGCCATGCTGAGTTGTACCTACTTAGCTTTTCCCTTTCAAGTTTTTTTTTCTTGTCAGCGTTCCTCTGCTGTTTCATATATTTAAAGTGGGTTTTTATGGCACATTTGTTTGCTTTGGGTTTAATTTTGAACATGGAAGATTGCTAACAACTTTTGGGTTGCACCAGGAAGGTAGAACTTTACAAACACTTGGTATGTCTTTAATATATGTAGATATTTATATATTTTATACCATATCCAGGAATTTTGTGTTGCCTATTAAAAATTGAAATTCTCATTCTCTCTCTCTCTCTCTCTCTCTCTCCTCCTCCCACCCCCCCACCCCCCCAATCCTGGCAATTTAACAGGAGGCTGAATTTCAGTCATTGAGAGAAGCTCTCTCCTTTGTATCATTAATTGATGGATATTACAGATTAACCGCAGATGCCCACCATTATCTCTGTAAAGAAGTAGCACCACCATCAGTCCTTGAAAATATCCAAAGCAACTGCCATGGACCAATTTTGTAAGCCATTTTTTATCAGTACAAAAGGTGATGCTGTTTTTAAAACATGAACTTCAGTTGACTGTGGACCATGATGGACATCTTGAAATGTGTATTTATTAATTTATGTAACATAAAATGCTTTACATTTTTCCTCTTTTTTTTCACTTTGCAAAGCACAATGCCTTCCTGACGTATTATAAAAAATAAATGGAAATATCCTGGGTTTAATTTTCTTCCCTTAGAATTCTTTTTTTTTCAAGTGAGACAGGCAGCAAAGTCATGATGCTATTTTACAGAATTAGTTACTACTATGACAGCAACATACAGTGTCACAGATGGAGGGTCTCATGTTTTCACTGAAGCCGCTAGCAGTTCTATTATCTGAGTGCCAAGGGGAACAAGGCAAATTCAGACAACACTGTCTCCAGCATTTGAGCAAGGATAGCAGTAAACTGCTAGCCATTTAAATTGTGGGTTTTGTTTGTTTTTGAGGAATGTTGTCTCCTTGTTTGCTTTCGTTTTAGAGGAAGAATTTAGTACCTTCATTGAATATTTTTAAACTTGTTTTAATAGTTCAGATAGTACTGTTTGTTTGCAGCACACATGGGAACTTAGAAATGTTTTGTTAGGCAGAATAAAATGGGTATTTGGTTTAGCTACAGAAAGCTCAAAAGCTGATATATGCAAGATACGTTGCATGAAACCGGCAGTGTCTCTCAGCTCATCCAGACGAGTTCTGCAACAGAAAAAGGATAGGTGCTGTGACCTTCAGAAGAGATGGAGGAGAGGGATGGAGACCTATGCAGTTGTAATCACATTAAAATATATTTAGACTGTAAGATTTCACATCAAATAAATAATTGTGGTGTTTTCAGTATTAATAACTTCTAATATATTGCTCTCTACCTAAGTGGCCACCCTCAATATTGGAAAATAGACAAAATTAACTTGAAGCTGTAAAAAATGGAGATTTGAATTGTTATTGTAATAGATATTATAATAGTGCTCACTGGCTAATCTTGGATGTTTCTGGCTTTTGAAATTATGCAATAATGAATATTTTGTTTTTACTATAGCGTGGACTTTGCTATCAGTAAACTGAAGAAAGCAGGTAATCAGACTGGCTTCTACGTTCTTCGTTGCAGTCCTAAAGACTTCAAAAAATACTTCCTCACCTTTGCTATAGAGGTTTGTATTCTACCTTCGATAGTATCTGTATAATCTTTATTGCATTATAATAATGAGCCTGGGATGTTCAGTAAATGATTCTGAATTTTCTCTTCAGAATGTTTGTCTCATGTGCATTCTATAGCTACTTCTGTCTTTTTGGTCAGCTTTCAGGGTCTTGTGAGAAACATCAAAATAAAACTTGTATGGTAAAGAATTGCTAATGCCACATACCGTGTGCCTGCAAGAGTAAGACAGGTGCAGGGAAGAGAGCTTGAGAGTTCTGGAGATGGCGCCATGGCTATTAGTACCACAGTAAATGTTTGTGTGCTGGAGTGGTTTGTGCTTGGATTTTTGGGTTGGGTTTTTTTTTTCCCTTTTCTTTTTTTTAAGGTTTGTTTTATTTATTTGGATTTTTTCCTGGGATTTCCACCCTAGCCCCAACTGGGCCTTATTTAGTATATACTGAGTATACAGCCCTCAGTGATCTGAGAGTGTCTGTCCTTCACAGGTGGTTCCAGGTTTGGGTCCAGTCCCCATTCCCAGTGCTGGGCCAGGCAGACTATTTGGCAGCTGTAAGGTCAACAGACATCTCCTGCTTGGTGTCTGGTGTTAGCTAGAGTCCGAGCCACCCTTGAAATACCTGCAATTCTCATGCAGCTAAAGAACTAGATGTACCTCTCCTCTGTGATAATACAGTACTTTAATATTGCTGATACATAATTGCATGATCATGTTCCAAGGATGAGTTTCTCTAAATTAACAGAGCTAGCTTTGGGTTCTAAACTAGGGAAGGTAATACATGGGTTTTCCTGCTGCTTTGCAGGAAAGCAAAACACTGTCAGAGATACGTGCATCTCTGAAAATAACAAAATAATGTTGATGTGTGGGTGGAGAACTAAACAGCCATTTTAAGATCAGTTTCACAAAAAATTTATGTCCTGTCAGTGAAGACAGGGAATTTTTTAAACTAAGAGATCAGTCCCTGAGCAAGCTTTGAGGGTCAGAGTCTGAGAATCAGCTTGTGAGTTAAGCCTGCCATTAACTGACCTAGCCACGTTTCTTTTTTTTTTTTTCCTTGTTATGATTCTTCCTGGGCAAGCTGTTAGAAGGCTTTTGAGATTCAGAATTTATTGGAACATTTTCTGCGGTGTTGACGTGAAGGACGATGAAAGCACTATTAAGAGTGCCTCTTGTTTAAAAATGTTTAATAGGATCTTTTCAGGACTCATTGTAAAAATAATTCAGTGCATATTGAAAATCTGTGCTAGTAACTAATTGCTTAGAACTGTACTACAGATGGCAGAAAAATAGAAATACAGCTGAGATCTCCAAATGCTTGCCAAAAAAACACAGAGCGTGAGTGTTTGGGCTATTGCTTCCAACAAAATTGGTTTTGGTGTTACCCAACGTAAGGGTGAAGGATTTTTCCTAGGATCCATTATCTGTTTTCTCAACTTCATCTTTGCAGATTTTGTAATATTTGTTTTTATTAGCATCACCATGCTAGTTCCAGTGATGGGAGTAGAATCGTGTTTTCTCAGAATCAGTATTACATAGTGAGAACAAAAGAACAAATCATAGCAATACTTTTCTGAAGCATTCTTTCTTTAATTAGTAGAGTGCTATACATTTCAATAAGCTTTTAAATACTAAATATTGATAAATATTATTTTTAATGGAAAAAAATCTTTGCAGCGTGAGAATACCACTGATTATAAGCACTGCTTAATTACAAAGAATGAGAATGGAGAATATAATCTCAGTGGAACCAAGAGAAGTTTTTGTAATCTTAAGGATCTGTTGACTTGTTACCAGACAGAAACTGTCCGTTCAGACAGCATAATTTTCCAGTTCATCAAATGCTGTCCTCCAAAGCCAAAAGGTAAGAGAAATATAGGTAAGAGAAGTAAGCAGAAGGGTTTCCAACTTTTAAGTTAAAGATTTAAAAATAAGTTAACGTTAAATGGCTCTGAGATATATATTTGGGCGGGTTTTTTTAAATGTCACTGACCTATTCGTTCATTTTCTTAGTCAGAGTTTTCAGTCCTAGTGTCTGCCAAATTTTACTTTGTTATAGGATGGTCTTCCAGAAAGAAACATGGTGGCCAGTTTTATGATTAGAAGCAAAACTGGTTTCTTAGTTGCAGTGGATTGTATGCAGTAGCATGTCTTGAGAGGAAAAGAGCTACTAAACGTATAATTTGTTGCTGAGGCTAGTGGAATGGAACCAACAGTGCCAGTGAATATTTTTCGTTTGTTGACATCTTAGCTGAATTATACCAAGACTGCAGTGTGATTTCAACCTTTCTTACACTGAAAAATACATATGATATACAGCTCCTTCATGAGGAGTGGATTTTTCTTGATTTTACATTAAAGGTTTTGCATATCTTTGATATTTGTAATATCTTTCTCCTTTATGAATTCTTATAACATCTGCCAACTTACAGTTAATATAATTTCTTTATTCAGGTCCCTATTTAAACAAAAACTTGATAGAACAGACTCGTATCAATTCTGCTTCTCTCAAATCTGATTGAAATTAGCCAACGATTTCAAAGCTTAGAAAAGATTTTATAAGTAAATACATACACACATTACAGAGAATAATTTTGTAACCTTATTTCCATCAAAATCAAACAAAAATGTATATACATCAGAACTATAAATTATTGAATAAATACAGGCATGCATGCATATTCCCACAAATACGTACCTATCAGCTTTAGTTGTACTAAAAGACCTGCTCTACTTCATGAAGATCATTTTTTCAAGATCACTCGAAGAATAACTATTCTGGTAAACATAAAGCAGTGAGGATCACTAAAATGCTGCCGGGGCAAAAAGGTGTAAAAGCCTTAAAGAGACATCAGAAGGGTATGCGTGTCTTTAACAGAATGACTTTGTAATATAAAAGAAGGTGACTTACATCCCCCTTTTCCATCTCTGAATGTTATTACAAAATCAGCAGAAGTTAAAATGTGAAAGGAGGCAGGAATATTTTCAGAATGTTTGTCAAAGTTAGGTGTACTTAAGAAACTCAAAATAGCCAAGTGAACCTAAATGTGTTTGCTGATTAGAAAAAAATCAGACTTTGAATTTGTTTAATGAAATACTGTGCGGCTTTTGAATAAACTGAACTCAATGCAATATCTTGTTATTTTGGATTAACAGCTTCTCACTAATAATCCTTCTGACATAATACTATTGTAGTTTTATATTTTACTTTGTTCTTCTTTTCACCATCCTCTTTCTTTTCCCAGATAAATCGAATCTGCTGGTCTTCAGAAGCAATAGTGTAGGTGATGTTCCTTCATCACCTACGCTACAGAGACACAACAATGTCAACCAGATGGTCTTTCACAAAATACGGAATGAAGACTTGATATTCGTAAGTCCATTAGTTGCTTCTTGCACTGCAGATGATTGGTTTAATACACACTAAGTTTCAAAAAACTCAGTATATGTTGAAGAGCCTTATCCGAGCTAGGTGATTTTGCTGTAATCTTTCCTTAGGTAGAGTTCTGATAGATTTTTTTTTTTTTAATTTTTCCATTAATAGAAATAATTGTGTTTTGGTTTTTTTTTAATAAGAAGTGTCCTTCTTAGTGCAATAGTAGTTATTTACTTCTAGGGACATCTAAATACATCTTAATAACACCAGTTCCTTCCTCTGTGGTTCTTGCAGCAAGTTATTTTCTGAGATCCTTGGGGAGTCAATAAAAAATAAGCAAAGATTTAAGATGGTTTTGATATTGTTGCTTCATTGTTCCCTGAGTCTGACTCAAGAGGTCTGCTAGCCGTAAAGATTTGCATATGCGTTACTTTGCATGGCTGTTTAAGCGATCTTTTGCAAAACAGGCAGAGATTCCTGATTTTTTCCCCATCTGTGTCCTTTCTGCCTTTTAGGAGGAGAGTCTTGGACAGGGCACGTTCACTAAGATTTTCAAAGGTGTAAGGAAAGAAGTGGGAGACTATGGCCAGCTCCATCAGACTGAAGTTCTCTTAAAGGTGCTGGATAAAGTGCATAGAAACTACTCTGAGGTTGGTGCGATTGTTGACTGCTAAATAACGTTTGTCCGGGCTGTGTTGAGCATTGCTTTTCTTATAGTAAACGAGTATTTGTTACATGGTAGGCAGTTGTATGTTGAACCGAGCTCATCCTTGGCCTTTTGACATTGGGAGGAAGGATTTGAGACTGGCTTTGGGAAGTACAACTACGTACTTCTTTATTTCTTCTCTCCCCACCATCCATCAGAGAATTCAGTGCTACCCACTGAGAGCCAGAGAACACTTTGTAAGATACAAGTACCACAGGAGAGGTGGTATGGCCACAGAAATTACCTTTACCATTAAATTCATTATGTACAGATGAGAGACCAACGTTTAGGGAAAAATTACTTCTTTTTAGTAGACTATCTTAAGTGTTTTGGGGTCATACTGATTCTCCAGTAAAATCAACGTTTCATATCAAGTCATAAAAAATCAGAAGTATTTACATATGAGAAACATTTGCCATATGTAGAATCATGTTATTCATTTACTTTTCACCATCTGAGTGAAGCTGTGAGCAAACCTGAGATGCCTTGGGGCAAAAACTAATACACAATCTTGGCTCAATTACATTATCAGTTTATGTGAGAATCTGAAGACTTTAACAAGATGTGGTAGTGTTTATTAATATAATTTTTTATGGCTGTTTATTTTGATGATAGAATTTTATCAATTTCCTAATTAATCTAGCTGTATTTACAGCAAGCCAAGAGGACCAGTCTATTGTTTACCAAACTTTTCAATTACTTAAGACAAATCTATATGTAAATGTAAACAAAAAGGAAAAGACATTTTGGATAGCTAATATTCATAAGGAATATAGGTATATAATTTGGACAATTGAAAAAATAAAGAAACTGTAACCTATATTTTAATTTTAATAAGCTGGGTAATATACTTACATTCTAAAGTTAAGTGCAACTCAGTTGTTAAAAGGACTAAGAGTACAGAAATACAAACATAGTCATCTGAAGGAAACTGCTAATTTTGACCTTGTTATATTGAGTGAATAATCAGTACACAAGCAAATCTGGTTGGAAATGCTACTGAAGAGAATTTTAAAAATTACTAAATAAATAAAAGCATCTCAAACCTTCCTGACAAGGTTAGATAAGGTCTCACAGGAGTGGATGAGTGATATAATACTTTTTGTCTTTTAACTTAATAATGTGCTATGAAGAAATAAATTGGAAACTGAATAGTGCATTATGAAAGAATAAATTGGATACTGAAGAGTGCGTCATGAATTTGTCTGCTGTTTACTTAGTTAATTGACAGGGAAGAAAAGATTCATTTTAAAATGTGGAGATACACCTGCCTGCAGAAAAAGAAATTGCTAACCTCTCTGGAATGTGAATTACAATTATTTAAAAAAACCCAACCCAACTATAACAACCACAGACAATATAAAATATGTTGCGCAGGGTCTTTGCAATGAGATGGAAGTTGAAACATTTTAAATGCACATGCTTTTATAAATTTATTAGAAATCATGTAATGTTTTGGGGTTTTGTTTTCACTGGTATTTATTCTCTCTCCATTTCTCTCTCTGTCCTTCCTCAAAGTCCTTTTTTGAGGCTGCAAGTATGATGAGCCAGCTTTCTTACAAACATTTGGTGTTAAATTATGGAGTCTGCGTATGTGGAGAGGAGAGTAAGTAGAAAATAATTATCCTTTTGTACTAATTTTATTCAGCTGCCATTATAGTTAGTCATTGATTCTGGGTAAAAGCAGGGGGATAAAAGTCCAAAACAACTTGTCACAGCAGCTGGATGCCCAGTACATGTTCACACTGCAGTAGTATTTGTGTCGGTGTTTGAGAACTAGTTAATACGGTGATAACAAAGAGAATGGAAAATTTGTGTAAACAGAGCCAGTGTGAACAGTAACCTCTGTAAATGACTGTCCTGTCTGTTCTGTCTGAAAATACCACTTTTGAAAAGTCTGGCTAGACTTGTGAAAGGAGCTTTTGAAATGCCAGAAGAGTTACACTGTGACGTTATATCAACTGTGGTTAGCTAAAAAGGGAGGTGCTGAGCTACCCAAGAAAATCTTCCTTCGCTGTGTTCAGAAGCATGGCAACTGCCACCCTTTCCCACCCACGTGCAGACTTTGTGAGCACAAATGTATCTTGGGGAAGTTTGGTTTAGGGATTCCATTATAAAAATGAATTCAACATTATTTCAACAAAAAAAATGCAAAATTTAAGAAAGGTAAAATCTTTGTGTTGTTACACCAGTTTCTTTACAAAAATGCCCACAAGTGTTTTTTTCTAGTTTATTCATTGTACCATGCGTGAGGTCTATATATAAAGTTTCAGGTAGATAATTATATAATTTAAAAAAAAATCTCTAGAGATGTGTATTTACTTATTTCTTCTTTAGATCACAGTTGCCCTCCACAGACAGTTCTATTTCTGAAGGCAAGAGACTTATTACAGTTTAGTAAGAGGAAGTTACTGGGAAATAAATAAATAAATATGTAATAAGAAGAATTTTTTCCTGAGTTGCACACCTTGATGTAAAAATTTGATGAAAATTACTTCACGTAACTGTGAAAAGGAGACATTTGCTATCTATAAAATGAATTTGTTAGAAAAATCTTTTTTTGTTATAACCGAATATAATACCAATAGTTTCTAGTGTCTTTAGAGTCTAAACAAGTAGCACTGCAATGTGACACTCTTGCAGCTGAAGGAAACAGTTCAGTCATGCAATGTGATACTGAGTTGAAACTGGTGAATTTGGTGCAGTACTGTGAAATGATCTTGTTTCATGAGTTATTTGCTGGATGACTGCATGGAGGCATATGTCATATATATACACAAATCTTTTACTGCAAATATTGGTCTCTTTTCAAGAAGAGCATCTTTTGTCAGCAAAGGATCATGGTGGTTTTTTTTCACTAAGAATATAGATTGTAAAGAACTATGGAATGAATGACTTGAATGCTATTCGACTCACTACATCGATAGTGCTGCACAGTACTATGCTTTATCAGAAGTGACGTTATTTGTTGCGCCTTTCAAGTGAGGTTGGAAGGATGCTCACTGAATTTGTCAAGATGGAAATCTATTCTGTAAAAAAATATTCAATGTAGTAATTATGTATTTGAGAATAGATTAGGCAAACCTCCACATCCTGAAGAAGTATAAAAAATATGGAATATTTGTGGCAACACTCAGGTGTCACGTAGCTTGGAATTTATAGTGAATTCACCAACAAGGTATCAAAGAAAGACCTGGGTAGTACTAGAGTAATGAATCTGTCCTGACATTCCATTATTTGTTGTTTGTTTCAATTGTTACTATTTTAAACCAGACATCCTTGTACAAGAATATGTGAAATTTGGATCTTTGGACACATATTTGAAAAAGAACAAAAATGTTATCAATATCTTATGGAAGCTGGAAGTAGCCAAACAGTTGGCATTAGCCATGCATTTTCTGGTAAGTTGTTTATTTTTCAGTTTTGTTAAGGGTTGAATTCAAGCTAATACACGCAAACCAGCTGAACTGTTACCCTGCTTCTTGAAACTTTGGAGGGTGTTTGAAATTAGGCTGGGCATATACTAGATAGTGGATAGCCAAGGACAGACCTTTGTATCTTGCACAAAATGTAATTGAATTTCACAGTCTTTTTGAATGTTTTATGTTTTAGTGTGAAATGAAAACACAATTCCGATAATTTTTTTTTTTTTCTTCCCAGACTCAGTCATACATGTTTTTCCTACCTCAGCTCATGATGCTGAGCACAAACTATTTCATGGTAGTGTTAGTTAACCACTGGGAGGGGAAATCACTGTACTGTTCAAACTGCTAGTACGTTCTTTTATTGTTCTAGATCCCAACCTTACAGTCTGCCTAATTAAACATAAAGGCTGTTATTTGAGAAAGGATATGTGATTAGATGAATCTTTCCTCTAACAGAGTTTAAATATTCTTATATTAATTTTAAATGGCTCATACTGACAGATCGGTGTTCTTCTGACTTCACGTACATCAAATAGTTTTAAACTTGAAACTTACTTAGACAACTAAAATGAATGAAAATTGGCTAGAAATTATAACTCTGAGAGGGACTAATGAAATGTCTGAGGTTTGATCAGCTTCATCTATGATCATTGTTTTCTTTGCTGATGTTTAACTCATGTTCTAAAGTACTGGTTTTTAAATGCCCCTTCAACCACAAGATTTTTTTTTCAGTATATAAAAATTCATTTCTGTTCACAGGAGGATAAAGGCCTTGTTCATGGGAATGTCTGTGCAAAAAACATCTTGCTTATCAGAGAGGAAGACAGGAAGTCTGGAAACCTTCCATTTATAAAACTCAGTGATCCTGGCATCAGCATTACAGTTTTGCCAAGAGATAGTAAGTCTTTATGTCAGCTTTCTTGTTTAATGCTTCTGACTGGAAAAATAAGTTTGGATTCTTTTTTTTTCTGACCACCATCTAAGATACCGCTGTAAATTCCTTCATCCATCTGTCACTTTAAAATAACCTCTGCAGTCCTTGTCACCAGTTTTGAGTGTATCTTCTTCGTATGCAAATAGCTACGGGAAAGAAAGGCGCAATTCTCCATCGTGTGAAGGGTTTTTTCCTGTTTTTCTCATTTTTTACTTTTTTTCACTGGTAGTACTATTAGTACGCTATAATGTACCATGAGTAGGTCTGTTGCTTCTGCAGATAGCTGCTGGAGTTAGTATCCTGTTATTGATGAAGATTAAATTGTTGTGTTTTATAGCTTGGGGAACTTTTCAAAGTTTAAAGTAAATGCACTTTTGAAAATGCTGCCTGGGAGTTAAAAATCATCTTCAGTGCATTTCTTGGTGAATACCTGAAGCCAGTTGATGATGATAAAAATATTGAATTATCATCTGTCATTAAGGCTGTTCTAATGCTTTATAACAGCTAAGTTATTTTAAATGAAAAATCTGTGCAAGCTTGTTATCCTAATGAAACTGAAGTAACCTTACTATTCTTTATTTAGTCCTTTTAATAATTTGGGGAAAATGAACACTCTTTATACTTGGTAATTTTATACACGCCAAAAGAAATAACACATCTAAGAGATTGTAAGCAATGCAGTGTCGTCATTTTCCAGTAGTCTGTGACTCTCCCTTCTTTACATGAGACACCTACATTAATCTCATGAAATCTCATTTTAAGGAGCTCTAAATCTACACCAGTACAATGCCATCTTTGAACTTGTTACTACAATCAGTATCAAAAATTTAGAAATCAAATTGTACGAAATTCCTTGTTATGGCATCTTTTGGTATGCCATGATGTGCCAACTGCTGGCAAATTACTTTTTACTCTTTGCCATCTGGTTCCTTTGTGGTAGCTACTAGATCTTGGTAACACTGGAGGAAGTACAGAAGTTGGAGCAAAAATATAATGTGGAAATGATGTTAAGGCAGTTTTATAACATTAGGCTCATTTTACAATAAAACTAATGGTCCTTTCTGATTCATAAATACTATTTTTGTACATATTCTGTAGCTTTTTTTTTAGGCAGGAACAAAAACTTGGAAAGGTATTAAAAGCATATTACAGAATGAAATACCTGTGTATTCTAAAGTAATTTTTTACTAAATAAAATGTTATAGAATTTTCTGGTTTTATTATTCGTCTTAACATGATGTTTCCTATGTGTGATTGCACAGTTCTTCTTGAGAGAATACCATGGGTTCCACCTGAATGTATTGAGAACCCCAAACAATTAAGCCTGGCCACAGACAAATGGAGTTTTGGTACTACTTTGTGGGAAATCTGCAGTGGAGGAGACAAACCTCTGAGTGCACTGGATTCTTCAAGAGTAAGTATTACTGGGCCTGCAGTCATAGCAGTTCTATGGACGCTTCCAATTTAAAACATCTGCTGTTTTACCTGTATTAACATGTAAAGTGGTGTGGCCCATGACCACTGTTGGAAAAGGACACTTTTACTGGTAGATAATGATCCTAAGTGATGATTTGAGGTTTGTTTTTGTTGTGGGGTTATTTATTTATTTATTTTTATGGGGACAACGTACAGTGTTGCCAGTATTACCTTGTTCATGTTTCTGTTGTTTTGTTGCAACAGTGTATCACTTTAAAGAAAACGTATTCCTAAGAATGTACATGGATTTTAATTGGCATTATTCTAGTAACTGAACATCTTAAATACTGTAAGACTTCGTGTGCTGCAGACAGTTCACCTATTTTAGCTAAACTAGAAGTGTTAACTTGTCTCAGCTAGGGGCAGGAGGTAGAGGGGAAACACATTCCATAAAATTTCTATTTCTTATGTATTTCCTTCCTTAGTTGGAAGCAAAAAGATTATTTCCTTTGCTACGCTAAAAAAATATTTGTAGTATTATGTTTATAAATGGACTGTTACCGTCTCACAAAGCCTTATCTGATTTCTTAGGTGTTGCAGTCAGCTCAAACAATAAGCTCCATGGTCTGTGTAGGCCTAACATGTACATATGCTATTTATTATTTATTAGGGTATTTCAGAAGTTGCCCTTCTCTTCAGTACTAATTCACATTCTTTCATAATACTCATGAAGCTTTTTACAACTGGAGGAACTCACTGAGCTCACAGATGGATAGAATTTTCTGCTGGACCCATCCAGCTGGGAGACACCATTTTTTCTGTTTTCTTACCTTGCACCAGTAAGAGTGAGAATTTCTGAACTGATTAAAGTATGGCAGTCTTGCTGTGTTGTCAGCCTTGGCATTTGTCATAAATGGGTGAGATGTACGTGCGGTCAGATAAGTCTAGGTTGAGAGCTGTATTTTTTGGCTGCTCTTGTGAGAATGTTAAGGCTTCTGCAGCTCTTCGTGGTTGTATACTAAAATGGCTTTTATCTATTTAATTCCAGAAACTGCAGTTTTATGAAGATAGGCACCAGCTTCCTGCCCCCAACTGGACAGAACTAGCAAACCTTATAAACAACTGCATGGATTATGAGCCAGATTTCAGGCCTTCATTTAGAGCAATTATACGTGACTTGAATAGTTTGTTCACTCCAGGTGAGTCTGTGATACAACAAGAATGCACTGGACAGAAAAAACCCTGATTTCCTATTGGTTCATTTTTCACATGGTGCCTTCTTTTTTGTTATGTTGACCCACACCCAATCTCTAAAGCAGCCCCAGAAGTCTAAGATAGTCATGTTACAGCTTTTTAGTTTGCTCTAAAAGAGAATACATTAAAGTTAGCATTATCATTCAAAGCAGTTTTCTGGTTTGATTAATGTCTATCGCAAACAATCTAGTCTCTTAACCAAGTATGTTGTGTTTGTGACTGTCTTTCTTTTTCTCTCAATAAAATAAATAGGTATCTTTTTTAAAAGTGGAAGACACATGTTAGCACAAGCCCTTGTGAAGCTTGTATTTCTCCCCTCTGCAGTAGTGGAGTTGTTGCAGAATAGTTGTTACATCTCAAGTACAGTAAGCCTGCAAAAAAAAGAAAATTGGGAAATTAAAGCAAAACTCTCTACGGGTTGATACAACTAATTTGGCTTTTTTGTAATACATCTTTGTCTTTGACTGCAGATTGCGATATAGAAATTAAGGTGGTTGTTTATATTCTACTGAGACTGAGGTGTGCCAAGCAAAGGTGGAACATACCATGATGGTAATGTTTCCTCAGTCTCCTGTTCATGTCTCTTTGCCTCCTGTTCCCTTTCTCTTTTCCCTTCTCCCTCCTACCCCTCAGATTATGAGCTATTGACAGAAAATGATATGTTGCCAAATATGAGAATTGGAGCACTTGGATTTTCTGGTGCTTTTGAAGATCAGGACCCAACACAATTTGAAGAAAGACATCTTAAGTTTTTACAGCAACTTGGCAAGGTAGGATGTTTTGAAATTCTCTTAATTACCTAGAAAATTACTATCTTTTATAGTTATCTTCTGATGACCCCATATACATTATTTATGTTGAAACTTCTGTTACAGAATTTAATGGTTTCAGTCACATCTGATCACAACATGCTGTTCCTTTTAGAGATCCTTTTTTTGGTTTCACGTGGTAATTAGGTAGAAGAAAGGTAGCTTACCTCTACAATTAATCTGGTCACACCAAAAGGTTAAAATCTTTTCAGTGGTGCAGAGCTGCGTCTGACATACATGTATACTTGGTATTAATTTAAAAATGCTCCAGCAGTCTTGCATAGCACTAATGGGGTTGAGTTTTTTGTGCATGTATATTCTGACAAGTCTGAATATGCAGTCCCAAAACTCAGTAATGTCTTTGAAATATATTCAGTCCTTGAACTTCTTAGGCTTTAGAAATTAGGATTTGGTTACTAGTTGTGCAAGTCGTTGCATCCCAGCTTGTGAAAGCACATCTAGGCAGATGACCAAGTGCAGCTGGCAGATCTTCCCCCAGGTACCATTTCTCCAGAATGGTTCCCTGATGTTTTATTGACATGACAGCTCTGTATTCCTTTGACACCAAGTGCTAGTCAAAGCAAGCCTGAAAGCAAAGCAGTGGAACTACTATTTGCAGATGGTTGCTTGGTTGACTGTAAACAGTAGCACAGCACAGGGAGAGGAACAGAGTGATAAGTGATCACTGCCTAAAGGAAGGTGAAGAAAATACGAACAGAGAGAACTTTGAAAATAATGGGCAAAGAACCACCAGGAAACAGAAGCGAATTAAGAGCCAAGAGGAATCTAAATGTAGGGGCTTTTGCAAGTGCAGGAAAAGGAGTATCCCAACTGACAGTTTCAAAGTGCAAGTGCCAATTGGTGAAGAAGGGGGAGAAAATGAATAGACATCACCCCCTCTCCCTGTCCTCTTGTAGTCCCATGCTGTTTACTTCCTTATGGAACTGTTACCTGTGATCTTGCACTCTTTCTCTCTCAGTGGGGTTTTGTGGTCACGTAAATAATTCATTTTGGTCACCTTAATGCCAATACAGTGAGCATTCAAGTAGTATGAACAAACACTAAGAAAGAGACAATTATACGGACTTGGTTTTAATTCAAGTATTTCCATTTGTGATCTAGGGAAATTTTGGCAGTGTTGAGATGTGCCGGTACGACCCCCTGCAGGATAATACTGGGGAGGTGGTGGCTGTGAAAAAGCTGCAACATAGCACAGAAGAGCACCTTAGGGACTTTGAAAGAGAAATTGAAATACTTAAATCTCTGCAGCATGATAACATTGTTAAATACAAAGGAGTTTGCTACAGTGCAGGTACGTGCTATAATTTAATACAGCATCAGGTGTACATCTAAGTGTGCTTACTGAAAAATTTGGAGAGGTAAGTTTTTATGAAAATCACCGACTTGTCTTAGCTTTACCACAGCTTAGAGAGTACAAACCAAAGGAAGTAGTGTCTGTCATATACTACTTCTCAGTACAAGGTGGATATTTTATTCAGTCAGCTCATTGGATACTTTGATTGATTTAGAGAAAGTAAATTGTTTTGACTGGTTACCCATTTTCTTTATCTTAAAGCATAAGATAAAGAATGCTTTTCTTCCTAGAAAAGGATTCAGGGTTAAGTAGGAAAATGAAACCATTTTGTAACTGTTATTTTTTTGCTCAGTGTAATGTCCTAGCTTGGATATTACCAGTTCTTGTACGGCCTACACATTAAAAGACTGGAGAAGAAAAGGTTTCAGAAATGGATGTGTTTGAGTGAATTGTTGATGCTGTTAAAATTGATGAATGAGTTCTTCCCAGGATCTTGCTGTGAAGAGAATATTGGGTTCAAAATCAGACTTAAGTTTTTAAAGATGGTAAAATTGCTGACCAGTTGATTTCAGATGCCATTCTGAGTTTCACCCTGACAATGAGGAGGAATTACATAAACACAGATACACACTTGTCACACTTCTGCTTTGCTTTAGCAATACTGAAGTATTGGTGAGATGATCTAGTGATGCTCTACATATCAGGCATATCGACATTGTTGTTTTCTTTAAATGGCACTTCCTGAACAAATGCAGTTAACTAATATAGGAAAAAATGCTCTTAATGTACCCATAATAAATTAGGTTTATTGGTACTAAGACTATTTTCTATTACTTTTGTTCACAGACAATTGTAAATATTTATATTTCAAAATTTGCCACTGGAAAATGACAGAAAAATTGAGTGTATTTTTTGTTGTTGTAAAAGGTCGTAGGAATCTAAGATTAATCATGGAATATTTACCATATGGAAGTTTACGAGATTATCTGCAGAAACACAAGGAAAGGCTGGACCACAAGAAGCTTTTACTGTATGCGTCTCAGATATGCAAGGTAGGAATTTTCAGAAGACTGATATTTTTAAATACATTTTTATCTCTTTCATCTAATTTGTCTCAAAAGAACCACCATTAGTTGTTTGGTGTATGTTTTATAATACTGTTGGGCTGCTAGCACCATATAACCCTACAAGAAGCGTCAATACATCTTCACGTACTCAAGAACTGGATAAACTCCTGAGTGTCTTAATACAGGATGCAGAGACTGGCCGATCTGCTGACTAAGGCAGAATATACTCCATTTATTTTTGTTTATTTTCTAGTTTGCTTACCTTATATTTTGTTCAGAAGAATTAAAGCCTCTTTTCTCCATAATGAGAGCTGAATGAATATATATTCACCCAGGCAAGCTGTTTGTGAAATACTGTAACTGATTTTTCAGGACCTGGACTTTCAACTGTAAAACTACTATAACAAATGTATATTTTAACAAATTTACTTTAAAATGTAAATAATATTAGCTTGTTTATCAGAAAGAGCAAAGATACCTCATTTCTGTGCAAAGAACTAGAGGCCACAGAAGTGCACAAAGCTGTAATAAATTATTTGCTAATCTCTGGTTGGTACTGAACATCCTAAAATGCTGGAAAGGGGGGAAAAAACCTGATCTTCATTGTGATTATCTTATTTCCTCAGAAACAGTGCTTATGCCTACCCTAATTTTATTCAGTTATGCTTTAGATAGAAGAAACTAGGGACACTTAGATTTCATTGCATGTTTGGTAGTTTGGGGGGAAAAAAAAAAAGGGAGGGGAAGGGGAGAGAAGAGGAAATAAAAAAGAGACACACACCCCCTACACCCTCAAGGCATGCACCAGAAATAATTTTTTAATTCCTTTCCCCAATACCCACATCAAAGACATGGAAACAGTAGGTTATTCAAAATGGATGAGTATTCTTCAGGGTATGTAGCCCACCCTTATTCTTATGTCTGGTAATTGTGCCCTGCCACGTTCAGAGCAGGAGACTTTTCTTCTGCAATATCTGCAGAAAAGGCCTGACAACAATCAGGCAGGAGAGTTTCTTCAAGACCAGAGATCTTCTCCATGCATTCAGACTTCCACCTTTGATAATTCTGTGCTTGAAACTAGACTGGTTCGGTGAACCTCTTAGCTGCTGAATCTGGGGCATGTACAGAAGGATGCTGCATGCACTTTTAGCAGCTGATCTTACCTATTCATGGCTTCACTGAAGCAAGGCTATGTGGGTAGTATCCAGCAAAACCTCCTTGGTGGCCAAACAGTGTGCAGTGAGGTTGGAAAACAGAAAGCGTTCACGAGTATGTGGCAAGTGCCTGTCTTCTCACAGAGAGGAATGATTGAATATGCAGCTGCCCACTCAGTGTTAAAAAGCTCTGTGATCTGTGTCTCGAAAACAAGAAGTCATTCTCCGGTAGCAGACAGAAGAAATTCTCTCAGTACTATTCCTGCAGCAAAATACCTCCTGTTATCAGTGCTGGTAAGATGCTGAGAACAGTCTTCCTTCAAGCAAATAGCTGGAAGAGTCTAACACGCAGCACTACTTCAGAGGATGATGGCAGTCAATCTTTCATAAAGATGCAGCAGGGATTTTTGCTGCAACGTAGTTTATGCTGGCGCCTTCTCAGCCTACAGCCTGGAGGGTGATTAAGGTGCCTGCGCTGTTGACTGTGATACAGAGCTGTGAAGCTTACCTATGTAATTGAGTCAGGATTAAAGGGAGGGCAGGAAAAGGGGACATGGTAGTAGGAGTTTGCTGCAGACCACCTGGCCAGGATGAGTGAGTGGATGAGGCCCTCTACAGACAGATAGCAACAGCCTCACAGTCACACACCCTGGTCCTCATGGGGGACTTCAACCACCCCGATATCTGTTAGAGGGACAACATGACAGGGTACAAGCAAGCCAAGCAGGCTTCTGGAATGCACAGATGACAACTTCCTTGTCCAAGTGATAGAGGAGCCAACGA